ATAAACAGCTGGAGGAGCATGGACTCATGGAATTGGTGTAATCTTTACACAAGGGGATAAGAAACAACAACAAGACTGTCTATAAACAGCTGGAGGAGCATGGACTCATGGAATTGGTGTAATCTTTACACAAGGGGATAAGAAACAACAACAACACTGTCTATAAACAGCTGGAGGAGCATGGACTTATGGAATTGGTGTAACCTTTACACAAGGGGATAAGAAACAACAACAACACTGTCTATAAACAGCTGGAGGAGCATGGACTCATGGAATTGGTGTAATCTTTACACAAGGGGATAAGAAACAACAACAACACTGTCTATAAACAGCTGGAGGAGCATGGACTCATGGAATTGGTGTAATCTTTACACAAGGGGATAAGAAACAACAACACTGTCTATAAACAGCTGGAGGAGCATGGACTTATGGAATTGGTGTAACCTTTACACAAGGGGATAAGAAACAACAACAACACTGTCTATAAACAGCTGGAGGAGCATGGACTCATGGAATTGGTGTAATCTTTACACAAGGGGATAAGAAACAACAACAACACTGTCTATAAACAGCTGGAGGAGCATGGACTCATGGAATTGGTGTAATCTTTACACAAGGGGATAAGAAACAACAACACTGTCTATAAACAGCTGGAGGAGCATGGACTTATGGAATTGGTGTAACCTTTACACAAGGGGATAAGAAACAACAACAACACTGTCTATAAACAGCTGGAGGAGCATGGACTCATGGAATTGGTGTAATCTTTACACAAGGGGATAAGAAACAACAACAACACTGTCTATAAACAGCTGGAGGAGCATGGACTCATGGAATTGGTGTAATCTTTACACAAGGGGATAAGAAACAACAACAACACTGTCTATAAACAGCTGGATGAGCATGGACTCATGGAATTGGTGTAATCTTTACACAAGGGGATAAGAAACAACAACACTGTCTATAAACAGCTGGAGGAGCATGGACTCATGGAATTGGTGTAATCTTTACACAAGGGGATAAGAAACAACAACACTGTCTATAAACAGCGGGAGGAGCATGGACTCATGGAATTGGTGTAATCTTTACACAAGGGGATAAGAAACAACAACAACACTGTCTATAAACAGCTGGAGGAGCATGAATTCATAGAATTGGTGTAATCTTTACACAAGGGGATAAGAAACAACAACAACACTGTCTATAAACAGCTGGAGGAGCATGAATTCATGGAATTGGTGTAATCTTTACACAAGGGGATAAGAAACAACAACAACACTGTCTATAAACAGCTGGAGGAGCATGGACTCATGGAATTGGTGTAATCTTTACACAAGGGGATAAGAAACAACAACAACACTGTCTATAAACAGCTGGAGGAGGATGGACTCATGGAATTGGTGTAATCTTTACACAAGGGGATAAGAAACAACAACACTGTCTATAAACAGCGGGAGGAGCATGGACTCATGGAATTGGTGTAATCTTTACACAAGGGGATAAGAAACAACAACAACACTGTCTATAAACAGCTGGAGGAGCATGGACTCATGGAATTGGTGTAATCTTTACACAAGGGGATAAGAAACAACAACAACACTGTCTATAAACAGCTGGAGGAGCATGGACTCATGGAATTGGTGTAATCTTTACACAAGGGGATAAGAAACAACAACACTGTCTATAAACAGCGGGAGGAGCATGGACTCATGGAATTGGTGTAATCTTTACACAAGGGGATAAGAAACAACAACAACACTGTCTATAAACAGCTGGAGGAGCATGGACTCATGGAATTGGTGTAATCTTTACACAAGGGGATAAGAAACAACAACAACACTGTCTATAAACAGCTGGAGGAGCATGGACTCATGGAATTGGTATAATCTTTACACAAGGGGATAAGAAACAACAACAAAACTGTCTATAAACAGCTGGAGGAGCATGGACTCATGGAATTGGTGTAATCTTTACACAAGGGGATAAGAAATAACAACAACAGTGTCTATAAACAGCTGGAGGAGCATGGACTCATGGAATTGGTGTAATCTTTACACAAGGGGATAAGAAACAACAACAACACTGTCTATAAACAGCTGGAGGAGCATGGACTCATGGAATTGGTGTAATCTTTACACAAGGGGATAAGAAACAACAACACTGTCTATAAACAGCTGGAGGAGCATGGACTCATGGAATTGGTGTAATCTTTACACAATGGAATAAGAAACAACAACACTGTCTATAAACAGCTGGAGGAGCATGGACTCATGGAATTGGTGTAATCTTTACACAAGGGGATAAGAAACAACAACACTGTCTATAAACAGCGGGAGGAGCATGGACTCATGGAATTGGTGTAATCTTTACACAAGGGGATAAGAAACAACAACAACACTGTCTATAAACAGCTGGAGGAGCATGAATTCATAGAATTGGTGTAATCTTTACACAAGGGGATAAGAAACAACAACAACACTGTCTATAAACAGCTGGAGGAGCATGAATTCATGGAATTGGTGTAATCTTTACACAAGGGGAAAAGAAACAACAACAACACTGTCTATAAACAGCTGGAGGAGCATGGACTCATGGAATTGGTGTAATCTTTACACAAGGGGATAAGAAACAACAACAACACTGTCTATAAACAGCTGGAGGAGCATGGACTCATGGAATTGGTGTAATCTTTACACAAGGGGATAAGAAACAACAACACTGTCTATAAACAGCTGGAGGAGCATGGACTCATGGAATTGATGTATTCCTTCCACAAGGGGATAAGAAACAACAACAACACTGTCTATAAACAGCTGGAGGAGCATGGACTCATGGAATTGGTGTAATCTTTACACAAGGGGATAAGAAACAACAACACTGTCTATAAACAGCTGGAGGAGCATGGACTCATGGAATTGATGTATTCCTTCCACAAGGGGATAAGAAACAACAACAACACTGTCTATAAACAGCTGGAGGAGCATGGACTCATGGAATTGGTGTAATCTTTACACAAGGGGATAAGAAACAACAACAACACTGTCTATAAACAGCTGGAGGAGCATGGACTCATGGAATTGGTGTAATCTTTACACAAGGGGATAAGAAACAACAACACTGTCTATAAACAGCTGGAGGAGCATGGACTCATGGAATTGATGTATTCCTTCCACAAGGGGATAAGAAACAACAACAACACTGTCTATAAACAGCTGGAGGAGCATGGACTCATGGAATTGGTGTAATCTTTACACAAGGGGATAAGAAACAACAACAACACTGTCTATAAACAGCTGGAGGAGCATGGACTCATGGAATTGGTGTAATCTTTACACAAGGGGATAAGAAACAACAACACTGTCTATAAACAGCTGGAGGAGCATGGACTCATGGAATTGATGTATTCCTTCCACAAGGGGATAAGAAACAACAACAACAACACATTATGGATATATAACATAGGTTGTGGCTGTCAACCTGTGTGATAGTATTGAAAGAAAGAAATGTTAGAAACCTCATTGTAGCTCGCTGTGGTTGTTTGTTGCTCTAGGTGACGTGCTCCCCTGAGACAATTTTCTCAATCCTCTGCAGCAACAAGACAGCTGACCTCTCCAACTTTATCTCCATGGCTGATCTCACCAGGACATTCCAGCATAATTTGTCTCTCCTCCATGTTGCTGTACTCAAGGGCAACTTGGAGTAAGTACTTCTGTTCTTCAGATATGAACCAGGCCAGCTGTGAAACAAGCAGAATAACTCTGACAAAAGGGCAGTCGCGGACCAACAGCAGCTTTGTTAGAAGAGGAGTAGACCTTTTTAAATATCCTGACTTCAACTGACCCAGTTGATGGACCTCAGCAAGGGTCCCACTCCAGGGATATGGAGGAGCTGAGTCTGTACTCATGTTAGAGTCGGCAGCAAAGGCTTCCATGTTAGGAACGGCCTCAAACTACAGGCAAAGTCAGACTTCACCAAAGTGTGCCTGGATCATGGTGCCATGATCAATGAAAGCTGCACCCCTACACCCCATTACATGAGTTAGATGCACTAAACAGGACCTTTGGGAGAGGCCGCTGCTCATCATAAAACAGCTCGAGGAGCATGAACTCATGGAATTCGTGTAATCTTTACACAATGGGATAAGAAACAACAACAACTTCTGTTCTCTGACATCCACACTTCAACCTACAAACCTTTTTATCATGGACTAAAATAAACTCTTGGAGTTAAAATAGAAAAATAAAACGGAGATTGAAGAGGAGTTTCTTGTGTGAATTTTATTAGCAAGCTTTCGGACGTCCTTCTGTGGAGATTGTTCGGCCACTTATGTGGGAGAGACGGGTAGGTCCGTGAGAATGACGGAATATCACCAACAAGGATCGTAAATCTTTAATTTTTCAACATGTATCTCAAACAGGCCATAGTTTTAATTTAAATTCCCCAACAATACATTACCATCACATCAATATTAAACAGCAGAGACTATTCCTTGAATCATTCCTATCCATAAAATATAACAGTATAAACCGAAAAATAGACATCCCCGATATATACCATTCCTTTTGTAAATAGTCATACACAGTCCATTTCTTTCTAGCAATTTTTATATTATTTATAGGTTCATTGTTTATTTGTCATTACCTTTGTCGTATTGTGTGCGTGTGTGTGAAGTCACAATAGTAAAAAAAGTTTTTATTTCATAAATTTAATGTCCTTAGCACAAATTTTGCATATCAATGTTTTACATACAAAATTTTACGTTTTCACTTTTCTCTTTATTTATTTTTATAATGTTTTTCTCTCGTATGCAAAAACATCTTGTCTTATATAAACTCATCTCGTTCTTTTGTTTAGTTATCGTAAAAAAAAAAAAGCCTGTAAAAGGATGCATGCGTCCAAAAGCTTGCTATTAAAAAAAAAAAAAAAAAAATTGCACAAGAAACTCCTCTTCAATCTCCTTTTTCTTTTTAATCATTATTATTATTATCCTAAAGGACAATGCCCGGCTAGCTCAGTCAGTAGAGCATGATACTCATAATCTCAGGGTCATGGGTTCGAACCCAGTCTTTTTTGTGTAGACCTGGAGCGTAGTTTTCACTCTAACTTGCAAAGGGAACGGTTCGAGCCTGTGCTAGTCGGAGATAAGAGAGAAGATCCCAAGGACATATGTGGTACTGGCCATAATAATCATGGTGGGTAGAACTGACTTTTACTGTAGGTGTCACTATATGTCTACACAGGTGGAGAGCACTTCTTACACTTACAAATGTTCCAGAGCCCCAGTTTGGTTACTTGCACTCCCTGATGGGATTGGTCTTTTGAAAGAATCAATATCAATTGAAGCATTTTTTTTTTTTTTAATTAACAAAAAGTGCCCAATGCGGAATTTGATCACGAGTCATAGCAATTGAAAATCAACGGTTTAGATCATCCTTCCACCGACCCCATCAATCAGAGTGGATGCTTGCTGAAGCAGTGATGATGTAGGGCTGTCAAGCTGCTGTTGCTACGGGAACCAGAGATGGTCACCATGACATGCCTCAACAACTGGACTCCAGCCCATCTGGCTGTACTCAACAAAAAGAATGACATCCTGGAGTGTCTGCTCAATCAGGTACTGTACAACTCTTCGTACTCCCTAACACCTAGTTACATATTGAGGTCAAACTGCTCTTTTTACATGTGTAGATATAAAGAATAATACAGTAGAACTACCTCTCTGTAAAGGACAACACCTAGTTACAGAGCCAAAGTGTCCATTAGGGAGAGCAGCTACAGTAAAACTACCTCTCTGTAAAGGACAACACCTAGTTACAGAGCTAAAGTGTCCTTTAGGGAGAGCAGCTACAGTAGAACTACCTCTCTGTAAAGGACAACACCTAGTTATAGAGCCAAAGTGTCCTTTATGGAGAGCAGCTACAGTAGAACTACCTCTCTGTAAAGGACAACACCTAGTTATAGAGCCAAAGTGTCCTTTATGGAGAGCAGCTACAATATAAATACCTCTCTGTAAAGGACAACACCTAGTTACAGAGCTAAAGTGTCCTTCAGGGAGAGCAGCTACAGTAGAACTACCTCTCTGTAAAAGACAACACCTAGTTACAGAGCTAAAGTGTCCTTTAGGGGGAGCAGCTACAGTAAAACTACCTCTCTGTAAAGGACAACACCTAATTACAGAGCCAAAGTGTCCTTTAGGGAGAGCCGCTACAGTAGAACTACCTCTCTGTAAAGGACAACACCTAGTTACAGAGCCAAAGTGTCCTTTAGGGAGAGCAGCTACAGTAGAACTACCTCTCTGTAAAGGACAACACCTAGTTACAGAGCCAAAGTGTCCTTAGGGAGAGCAGCTACAGTAGAACTACCTCTCTGTAAAGGACATCACCTAGTTACAGAGCCAAAGTGTCCTTTAGGGAGAGCAGCTACAGTAGAACTACCTCTCTGTAAAGGAATAGGCATAGTAAAGAACCAAAGTGTAATTTAGGGAGAGCAGCTACAGTAGAACTACCTCTCTTTAAAGGACAACACCTAGTTACAAAGCCAAAGTGTCCTTTAGGGAGAGCAGCTACAGTAGAACTACCTCTCTGTAAAGTACAACACCTAGTTACAGAGCCAAAGTATCCTTTAGGGAGAGCAGCTACAGTAGAATTACCTCTCTGTAAAGGACAACACCTAATTACAGAGCCAAAGTGTCCTTTAGGGAGAGCAGCTACAGTAGAACTACCTCTCTGTAAAGGACAACATCTAGTTACAGAGCCAAAGTGTCCTTTAGGGAGAGCAGCTACAGTAGAACTACCTCTCTGTAAAGGACAACACCTAGTTACAGAACCAAAGTGTCCTTTAGGGAGAGCAGCTACAGTAGAACTACCTCTCTGTAAAGGACAAGACATAGTAAAAACCAAAGTGTCCTTTAGGGAGAGCAGCTACAGTAGAACTACCTCTCTGTAAAGAGCAACACCTAGTTACAGAGCCAAAGTGTCCTTTAGGGAGAGCAGCTACAGTAGAACTACCTCTCTGTAAAGGACAACACCTAGTTACAGAACCAAAGTGTCCTTTTGGGAGAGCAGCTACAGTAGAACTACCTCCCTGTAAAGGACAAGACATAGTAAAGAACCAAAGTGTCATTTAGGGAGAGCAGCTACAGTAGAACTACCTCTCTGTAAAGGACAACATCTAGTTACAGAGCCAAAATGTCCTTTAGGGAGAGAAGCTACAGTAGAACTACCTCCCTGTAAAGGACAAGACATAGTAAAGAACCAAAGTGTCCTTTAGGGAGAGCAGCTACAGTAGAACTACCTCTCTGTAAAGGACAAGACATAGTAAAGAACCAAAGTGTCCTTTAGGGAGAGCAGCTACAGTAGAACTACCTCCCTGTAAAGGACAAGACATAGTAAAGAACCAAAGTGTCCTTTAGGTGTCCTCTTACTGGAGAATTTCTAAATAGTAAAATTTATGATTCTGGCGTTTATTAAGAGGTGTCTTCTGGCGAGAGTGTCCTCTCATGGAGGTTCTACTGTAAGACCAAATCCAAATAAATAAATATTGTCTGAAGATGGTAACAACACTATTACTGAAATGTTACACACTATTTATATATTAGAATTTGGTCTAATTGCACATGGAAATAAGGCTAAATCCAAATAAATGAAAAGTGTGTGACATTTCAGTAATTGCTTTGTTACCATCTTCAGACAAAAGTACTGATTGAGAAATTTCACCACAGCATGTTTTAAAAAGTTACTGTTATCAAGGTATTTAAAAAATGCTGTGGTATAATTTCTCATTCAGTACTTTTGTCTGAAGATGGTAAAAATGCTGTTACTGAATTGTCACACACTATTTATTTGGATTTGGTCTTATTACCTTGTGTTTATGATCCATAAATCAAAGTGTGCCTTATAACTTGGTCTAATTACCTTGTGTTTCTAATCTATTAAACAAAATTCATACTTTATCATACATTCGTACCTTATACAAAAAAATAAATAAAAAAGGCATCTCCTGACCACGAGCACATGTGCTTTTTAGATGGCAGAGCGCCATCTAGTGGAGCAAAAATAAACTAAACGTTTATTTAGCTTGCTTCGTGATATTTGGCCAACCCAATTTCTTGTTAAATCAAGAAAAGCCATCCACGAACGTGTTTCGCGCTGTTGGCGCTCGTCAGCATGGAGAAGGCTGTATCACTGCGACCAAAAAGATTTTTGGTCCCAATGGCTTCCCGAAAAATCAAGTAATGGGTATTTAAAGGCCAAACTTGCATAAATACGTTTAACATGTGATTAGAAATAGATTAGAAACGCAAGGTAAATAAGAACAAATCTTAATACAGTAGAACTACCTCCATGAGAGGACACTCCTGCTAGTGGACACCTCTCTACAAAGGACAGTTTCCATCACCAATATAGTAGAACTACCTCCATGAGAGGACACTCCTGCTAGTGGACACCTCTCTACAAAGGACAGTTTCCATCACCAATATAGTAGAACAACCTCCATGAGAGGACACTCATTCTAGAAGACACCTCTCTATAAAGGACAGTTTTCATTTGCAAAATTACCATTTTTCCTATTTAACAACTCTCCAGTAAGATGACACCTCTCCCTAAAGTACACTTTGGCTCTATAATTAGGTGTTGTCCTTTACAGGAAGTTAGTTCTACCGTGAATAGTGTTGTAACAGCATGTGTTACCATCATCATTTGGCAAAAATACTGAATGAGATAAAAAAAAAAATGTTTTAAGAACATGCTGTGATATTTTTTCTCATTCAGTATTTTTTTTTTCCATGATGGTACAAATGCTGTTACCGAAATTTCACACACTATTTATTTATTTGTGTTCTTATTAACCTTGTAGTTCTATTCTATAATTCAGAGTGTGCCTTGTCATAAATCCAAAGGATTTTGTGCTCTAGACAAAACATGTCTTAGGAATGGGTGCGGCTAACTTATAGGATATATGATTGTCTCTTGACACAGGTTCAAGGAACATCCAATGTATTTGTATTTGATCCTTATTAACTTGTGGTTTAATCTATAATCCCAAATCCCAATTGTGCCTCATCATCAAACAAAAGTACTGAATAGAAAAAAAAATTAAGAACATGCTGTAATATATATTTTTTAATTCAGTCTTCTTTTTTTTTTCTGATAATGATAACAATGCTGTTACTGAAATTATACACCACTATTTATTTGTATTTGTGGTCTTATCAACTTCTGATCTTATCTATAATCCAAAGCCTTAATCATTTATGGATAAGACTTCAATGAGGACCTATGAAGTTATTGTAGTAACTTGTAGTAATCTTGGGATTTAGAGAAGTGCCCTGCTGCAGCCATGGACAGCTGGCAACGCGGAGGACAAACAAGGACGTACCTTGCTCCATCTGGCTCTGGAAGAACGGCTGTGGTCCCAAGTGGAATGTCTGGCAGAGAACGGGGGCAGGCTCACCATCACAGACCCATACTTCCTGGCCTCTTTCTGCTCCTCCACATCTGGCCTTGCACCTACAGACTGCCCTCGCCGCATCCAAGCTGTGAGTTGTTGACTCTCTGCACTCTCTTCTTTTTTATCTCAAATCTCCATTCAACAATCATATACAGTATAACCTCCAAGAAAGGACACTCATGCTAAAGGACACATCTCTACAAAGGACAGTTTTTATCACTGATACAGTAGAACAACCTCCATGAGAGGACACTCATGCTAGAGGACACATCTCTACAAAGGACAGTTTCCATCACCAATACAGTAGAACAACCTCCATGAGAGGACACTCACGCAAAAAGACACCTCTCTACAAAGAACAGTTTACATTTGAAAAATTACCATTTCAACTATTTAGCAACTCTCCAGTAAGAGGACACCTCTACTTAAAGAACACTTTGGCTATGAAATTAGGTGTCCTTTACAGAGAGGTTATATTGTATCACATTATCAAGCCTTTAGAGCTTGTTGATGGTGTCTGTGCTGGGGATGGGTCTCTTCTTTCTTATCTCCACTCGACACTCATATCAGGGTATCAAGTCTGTAGAGCTTGTTGATGGTGTCTGTGCTGGGGATGAGTCTCTTCTTCTTTCTTATCT